CCTTCTAGAAAAGTTGAAAAGCCATGATTCACACAAAAAGGGAAAAGATTCTTACCAAAAAACACGTGCAAAACGGCACGTGGAACATCTGAACAACCAGAATAGAATGTAATGAAACCCTCGCAAGACGATGACTGCGCTCCAAGTACGCATCGTGTGTCAGAGCGCTTGTTCACGTTTTTCACTCTCTCCGTACAATCCGCGCGGACCGCAAACTATGAAAGCAGCCTTACTTTTCCCATTCGATTCGTTAAATCTCAGCGCATAGTTTGGACCTATGTAGACTAGCTGAGCCTCGCCAGAGATACTGCTAGCAACTGCTATCGTCCGCTGTGTGATGTCGTTTTGAACCCATCGTTTCCTTTCCTACATATGTACTTCAGTATTTCTGTGGAATTATTCACGGGCCGTAAATCCGAAACTCTTACGTTCATGAGGTTACAAGTCGTCGCCCTCCCCCTCGACTATTCAGTTTGCGGAGATTCAATATGTCGGAAAGTCTTCCTTTTTTGCGTTGACATTCACTTTCCTCGATTTCTTGTCGTATGTCAACACATGCAATTCATCTGTTTGTTTATTTCAGTTTTTGTGGTGCAGCAGTCAAGCTTACATATATACGTATCTTGATCCTAAGGCTGTTATCTGAGTCCGCGATCCGTCGCAGGTTTTCGCGCGAATCGCGCGAATCGCAAAAATCGCAAGTGCCCCATTTGAACATTTGAAACACTGAATATGAAACAAGTAGAATCATGAACAGTCGTCATTCAGCCATCACCATCAAGCAGAAATGGCGGCGGGATTGGAGAGCACCTTGCAGTATTGATCGGGCACTTGTGATTTCTGTGACCCGTCGCGCGATCGCGCGAAACCTGCGACGGATCGCGGACTCTGACACCAGCCTAACCGTCTAGGCGCACATTGAGTGCAACAGAAATCGTAAAAAATTAACCAAATAAATGAATAAACAAATATCTTTGAAAATCCAACAAGGAAGCCCTGGTTAGTGCTGCAAAAGCGTACCGATCGACATCAGTCCAACGCATAGCTCGGCTGCTCGACTCCAAAAAGTTGCGAAACATCTTTAGCAGCTGAATACTTTTCTTCCAAAAGCTCACTTCTTCAATTTCTTCAACTCGATGTTAAATTTAACTTGATATTGTTTGTTTTGTGAATGTTATGGTCTTTTTTTACGCTGAGGGCTTTTTTCAGCAAGAAGGCCGTCAGTGACGTTGAGCAGACGGGAAAGATCTGCGTGCTAGATATTGAGTTACAAGGAGTTCGAAATATCAAGAATACTCACTTGAATGCTCGCTATATTCTGATACGCACTCCTACACTAGAAATCTTGGTTAGTTATTCCTTTTTTCACTCTTTTCCTCGTCCCTCGAGTTGAAACGTTAAGAGTTATCGACATTTTCATTCATTTTTATTCAAACTTATCTCGAATTTTTTGCTCTTATTTCGTAATAACT